GATCTGGCTCGCGGAGGATTGCTCGATCTCAACCTCCCTCCACCTCCGGAGCTCGCTTGATTTTGTTTTTAGAGAAAAAAGCGCGATGGCCTGAGTTAATACTTATTAGGGATTTTTAATTTCAGTTCCTTTTTCTTTTATTGAAATTTTCGAATTTTCTAAGATAGAAAACGAAAAAAAATACGTTGAGAGCAACCAATGTAAGAAGCTCCATGTGAATACGTAGCTAATGGTCGTCATCATCCCTTTTTGCAGCAGCGAAACTGCAAGTTTCAATCTGTTGTTCTAAATTTTAGAGACCTTTATTGTCATCAATTTTCAGTTGTAATCTTTCATTTCAGCAATAATTTTTTCCGCCAACCGAACCATACTGATAGTTTCTGAATCTCCTCCGGTATTATTTCTTTCTTATTTCATTTATTTATTTGTTTTTGCTAATAAGCCTATAATAGTTAACTATATGATATGATAAAATCGGCGATCCATGTAAGTAGGGACGAATTTTGTGGTTTGGTGTGGTTGACGATAGCTTGCCCCATTCCTGGAGTGCTGGCTAGCTGCCGCGTGGCCGGGTCTGTCCCACGCGTCGGCGGCCCTCAATTGACTGGGACGGTGAGATGAGTAGTAGGGACGGCGAGTCGAGTTTCTTTGCTTTCTTTGCTCTTGCCTCTATTATTTCGGAAAACGAGTGCTTTTACATTTAATTACAAATATTTTATTGATTTCTGGCGGAATTTGGGGATTAAAAGGAAAAACAAAAACAAAAATGAAAACGAAAACGAAATTATTAGGCGCGTATGATGGGTCAATGAGAATCGGCGCGCGTACCGGGTAAGAGAGCGGTGTTGTAGTTTTGAGACCGAAAGTTAATTCTGTGTTGACTGGGTAGGTCTCGAGATTGGAGTTAAGATTGCACGTGATATACGGCCGTCCGATCTCGCGTACCTATTAAATTTATTTGTTTTACAAAGTAATTTAATTAAAGAGATGAGTTGCTTAGCAATGCGAAAAAGGCGGAAAGTAGCAGACAGAGGCGGGGGGGGCGGGGGGGGGGGGGGGGGGGGGGGGGGGGGGGGAGGGGGGGGGGGCGGAA